GAAAAATGCATTAAGGTATTAATAAATATTAAATAAAATATTAAAAATAATTAATATTAGTTGGAAAAATAATGGATACTCTTTACTGTTTTTTTGTTAATTTATACACCTCAATCACAGAGGGGATTTTTTTTTAAAGAATCACTATCTAGTTAGGAGAGTATGCCAGGGCATGAATGATAGTTAAAAATGTGGGCTAATTTGCATAACAGGCTTTAGTTAGAAACATGCATAAATTATCCCAATTTTTCCCACTATCCTTAGAGTCCCTGGCATAGTCTCCTAACTAGACAGTGATTCCTTATATTTCCATTTCATTGTGAAATAAAATTGTAGATTTAGAGTTTAAAAATGTAGACTTAAATTAAAGCAGCCCCCCCATGTCATTTCAATAGTCTCCGCTCAGTGACGTCAAATTTAAAGACAGCCGCACAAGATTTACATCTATATTAGGCCTCCTTAGCATTCAGACATTAAGACAGATGCATGAGATTTAAAGCATACTAGGCCACCTTAGCTCCTGACTTATCGCTTGGCAAAATTTGCATTCCGGTGCAATGATCAAGAAATCACGTCAACTAACTTTCAAAGAAACATAGAAATGTTAATATCTCTGTGACAACAATCATTTTATTCCATACATTTATACTACATATATAGAGAGAGAAAGAGAGGCTATTGTCTTGATTTGACCCTCTAATTGTTGTACATGATATAACGTATGACGTAAGTTAAATATATCTATCTGTGGTTTAAATGATGTTTTTTTTTACATATTTCATGATACCAGATATATATAATAAGCACCTACATCATAAACGCATATAGATTTTCTACAAGACACACATTCTCATCATTATAGTTAAAATTACACTGATAACAGGCAATTGATAATTCTGTACTGTGACTGATAAACACACTTACTGCAATGAAGTTTATGATTGTAAAGGCATCCTGTTACTTAATAGAGTAACTTCACACTGTTTGCAGAATTTTCCTAATGTAGCTTTTACAGGTGAATTATGGTGAATAGAAATTTGATTCAGTTGTATTAATAAAATTAATATTAATAGATCCTATCTGTTGTCGATTTCTATAATATCAAAATTAATTTTATATGAACGGCACACATGCTGTCAAACACCAATTTTTTACAATTTCACTCATATTTTGTCTGTTGGCAAATTTTCTGCAGTTAAGGGTTTAGGATTATGTAATGCATGATGATTCATTGAGATAAATATTGGTAAGTAAAGAAAAATCATAAAAATAAATTTTATGTACAGGTTCATTTTCACCTTGTGTTATTTTTGCCCCTCCACACTCGCAAACAAGTTGCTCCTGTTTTGAATTCATCCAATCACAGTTCTGTTTAAGATAGTTTAGTGCCCATGACTTGCGTCTAAGGGGAAAGGGATGAAAAATAAATGAGACGTGAAAATTTCCCAGAGTTTTTACAGTAATATTTCTCAAACACAAATAAATGTTGATTTATAGTATAAAGAGAATTTTATTTCCTTTACTTGTTTAACCATACTCTATGTAAGTTTTAATACACGTGTTCTATTACAAGGCTTTTGCCTTTTCTCCTTTGGTTGGTTGTATTTTAGGGCACTATATTAGAGGCCATCCTCAGTGTTTGACCTTTTTCTGTTCACATGTAAATGGCCATGATTTTGCAATGACATGATTTAGCAACACGTTATACGTCAATAAGACTATCAGAAACAATTAACATCATGTACAGGTATATCACATATATATAGGTAGCACTTCAAAATCAATATCAATATATAAGACAAAGAAGCTACTTGTGAACCAAGGTTGTAAAAACATCCTCAGGTAAAGTATCTCTCTGGGAATTTGATTTTCTCATGTAGAGGGGAGTTGTCTGATTTCTTTACAATAGATATAATTTACGGGTAATCAAAGAGCATGGAGAAATATCTTGAATTTAGTTGCAGCCTAGAGTTATTTTTTTTTCTGTAGGAATTGTTCAGGTTTTTTTCAAGGCATCTTTTATCAGAGTAAATAGGCAATAGATTGCACATGTGCTCAGACATTTATGTACCGGGTATCTCTGAAACTTAAAGGAAACAATTTTTTTTAAAAAAAAAATTGATAGTCAAAACTGACACATCATGCTTGTGGAGTCATTTTATATACATACAAGTAATACGTAGATAGGTAGGATTTTCTTTGTACCAATATGGTAACTGAAGACGACTGTTTCCATTATTTGACTTAACTCAGGCTGTGAATTTGATAATAGCTCAGCTGGGCTTGGTTGCTTACAACATTATTTTTGTGATAATTGGAGAAAGGTGTATGCTAGACATGTGTATTAATTTTATATTGGTATTTTAGATTGTACATTTATGTACAAATTATTTGTAATATGAAATCATAAAGAGTTTCTTTTAATCATGTTATTAACAATAAAGATGTGATCTTAATTTTCAGAAGAAAAGTCAGTTTTAGATTATAGATATTTACTATATTTGTCTTTTCAGTGTCAAGTTTGGAAGAAAAATAATGTATGTGAACTACCTACATGAGCTGAAGGCCCACTTACACTTCGATCAGTTGGTTGTGCCTCCATTAGTACTGCAGTAAGTTTTTCTCTCATTATCAACTTTCCTGTTCACACATGTATCTGTTCTTTTTTATGTGCAAGGCATGTTTACAAAACTCGAGGGAGGATTGTCATTGGCTGTCCTACCAGGGACACTGACAGACAGCTAGACAAACACTGAACACTGACAGACAGCTAGACAGACAGACAGACACTGAACACTGACAGACATATAGACAGACACTGACAAACAGACAAATACTGACAGACATATAGACAGACACTGAACACTGACAGACATATAGACAGACACTGACAAACAGACAGACACTGACAGACATGATGAAATTTGGATTAGTATATAATGCTCTAACATTGTAAACATGATGCTTTAACATTGTAGACATGAAGCTTTAACATTGTAGACATGAAGCTTTAACATTGTAGACATGAAGCTTCAACAAGATTATAGAATGATGCTTTAACATTGAAGACATGATGTTTTAACATTGTAGACATTATGTTTTAACATTGTAGGCATATAGACAGACACTGACAATTATACATATATTACATGGCATATAGACAGACACTGAACACTGACAGACATATAGACAGACATGTCACCCGACACTGACAGACAGGCAGACAGACATAACACTCCAGACAGCTAAACAGACAGACACTGAACACTGACAGACATATAGACAGACACTGACAAACAGACAGATACTGACAGACATATAGTTATACACTGAACATTTTTAAAATTAAAGGAAAATTTAAAATCATTGAAATGTACACAACATGACAAACAGAAATGCCTTCATGACGTTAAGACACTGAACACTGACAGACAGCTTAGCAACCGACACTGAACACTGACCCGAGCTAAAATGTGTAAGGTGACAAACAGACGTGAACTGACAGAAATAGTGACAGACACTGAACACTGACGAGGGTTGACAAACAGACAGACACTGAACACTGACAGGCATGTGACAGACATTTGACAAACAGACACACACTGACAGACATGATGAAATTTGGATATTGTATATAATATTCAAAAATGTTATATAAAGTTTTAACTTTGTAGACATGATAATTTATTATTGTTGACATGATGCTTTAACATTGTAGACATAAAGTTTTAACATTGTAGATATGATAATTTAACATTATAGACATGATATTTTAACATTGTAGGCATGATACTTTAATGTTGTAGACATGATGCTAAACTGGTGGCCTCCAATAAACCTAAGTATCCCTATGGTGTAGACAGCAGTGATGCTGGTACCTTGCCCACTCAACAGTACGGAGTCACTCTTCAGCAGTAAGTTTATAGAGCCTTTGTTATTTTATATTCAGGTAATGACTCTGCAGCTCTAATATCTCAGTTTAGGTGGAATATCCCTCTGATAAGAGAGATATTTCATATAAGAGAGTATATTAAGTTTTGTCATGAAATTCAGTAAATTGACCTAGTTGACAAATTTCATTGTAAAATCACATATTTTTGTGGATCAAATTTTTCAGGTTTGAGGAAAAATTATAATAGTTTGTGGGAATTTATAATTCTTGTGTAAATTGGAAAATATTAATGTATAAGTCTTTTAATGCAGAAATTTATGAAATTTATACATTTAATATTTTGGTCATAAAAAAATTTTTCAAGGGGTCTCTCTTGTTTATGAATGTGTGTTATTTTACATGCAGAGAAAAAATTTGAAAATTGACGCCCCCACAAAAATTAGTGATTTCATTTTTATATATACTTCAAATTTCATTTTCAGTAAAAAAAAGAATCATTACCATATCAAATTTTTTTCACATCATGATTTGACATATTATTCATTTCTGAAAAAGTAAGTAACGCTTCATACTTCAAACTATTTTCCATTTGAATTTAATGGTCAGTTATTGCTATAAGTCAATGTTTGGAATTTTCACACAGAATTTTGTACAGCATGCAAATTCATTCTGAGATATTCATATTTGCTGTAAAACAGGTATATACCTGGATATTTTTTTTTAGAAAATGACAGATTAAAGGACAAATTTATACTGAAGATTGAATTAACTAAATATCAGCATTTTTTTTTTTAAATTTTTGATATCACTCTTCAATTATTAACTACATTAAGATTTAAATTCACCTTATTTTTATAAGCTGTAATATATTAATTATATAGAGTAGTTTATAAAATGTGAATGGATCTTAACCTATCTATTTTTTGTTCATATATATCCCCTTTTTGACTGATGACGATTCACTTCAAAACAAAACAAAAAACAAGGAAAATTTTTATAAAATGGTTGAGAAAGTGGGATCAATATGCCTCTCATACATTGATAGTAATACAACATAAGAAAGAACATTTACTAAATGTGTTATGTCAATGTGAGCCTATAATTGATTCGTATAATATACACTTGCAGCACTGGATGTGGAAGGAATATTCAGAAGGTCTGCCAATGCTGTCAACTTGAAAGCAGTGCAGAAAAAATTTAATCATGGTAAGGCTTCAAATATGTGTCCAAAGTTATAATAATCCATAAATTTCTCTTGCTCTTTGAGCCGTGTTTGCTAAAGGAAAAGAAATTTTTTCGGGACATGGTTACTATGGAAACTTTGCCAAAGAAATTTCCCTAGCAACCAGCCAATATCCCAGGTTGATGGACAAAAAATCTTTCATTTTTAAGGCTTAAAATTTTTTAATATGAATATGAATAATGTGAATATTTTAAAAATTCATATTTAAGCTACCATAAAGATAAATATCCCAAGTATTTTAACAATACATAGAAATTAGATTTTAAGATTTTTTTTTTTGTTATAAGCCAGTGGAGCATGTTTTACATTGTTTGCTGATTCAGCATTTATGTTTAGTGTCAACACTTTTCATGGTCACATCTTTCAAACACCTCTAACAGAATTTGTTTAAAAGGTGTGTTTTTAATATTTCTGATACTTTGCCTAGCAACAGTAGTTATGGATATTTTGCTACAGAAAAAGAGAGAAAATGTAAATTGAGGAAATAACAAATCTGAGACATTTTGATTTTTGTGATCAAAATCATTACCATTTGTAAGTAAAGTGAAAAATACTTTCTTAAGACTCAATCACAATTGTATGACAAACACTGAATAATATATTACAATCCCACAAGCGTAGCAACAGTCAACATTGCTTGACGACAGGTGATATTACAAAAAATAGCGACTGCACAGAATTTGTGCTTGCACGGTTCACTGTTATATGTATCTGTTTAAAACATTCAGTATAATATTATAAATATTGCATGTAGGTGAGTGTAACAATGAAAATTTTCACCCCTCAAAAACCATTGTCAACCGAGGCGCAAATGGTTTTCGAGGGGTGAAAATTTTCAATGTTACACTCAACTACATGCAATATTTATATAATGGATATTGTGTAATTTATTTTATACTGTTGTAGGTGACAAAAAGTCCACATCAATATATGATAATTGTATATTATATAATTTTTTTTGTATTCTGTTGTAGGGGAGAAGGTAGATTTCTCAGTGGAGGGCGATGAACACATTCCAGCCGTGGCGCTAAAAATCTTCCTACGAGACCTTAAGGAACCCCTTCTAACCTTTGACCTTTATCAACCAATACTCAGGCTTCACAGTAAGAAAACATTCTTTTGGAATGCATTCTGTGTTTTTCTTTTTTAATGAAAGATATCAAGTGTAAATTGACTGAGATGAGATATGACTATTTGAGCTTGACAGCTGTTTTTAGTATTTCTTCTCACGTTTGACAGTCTTTGTGTTTAGTATTTTTTTTTTTTTTTACATTTGACAGCGGTTGAAGACGAGAGGAAGGTGTCAGAGGTGAGAAGAATGCTGCATGAGGAGCTGCCAGAGGACAACTACCAGATCCTCAAGGTCATCATCAAGCTCCTCACAGAGGTCAGTCACATGACAGGGGTCAATGAAAGGTCAAGAATAGTAACATGATGTTTAGAAATACACATTAATAAGAAGATGCCTCCTATCAATGCACCCTCTATTTGATGCTGATAGTTTTAATTTTCATTAAGAAACAGTATATATCAGTAATCAAATAACCACATATATCAGGACCTCATTACTCTGATATATCAGTAGCTCAGTACTTACATATATCAGTAGCTCAGTACTAAGATATATCAGTACCTCAGTACTCACATATATCAGTAGCTCAGTACTTACATATATCAGGACCTCATTACTCAGATATATCAGTAGCTCAGTACTTACATATATTAGTAGCTCAGTACTCGCATATATCAGTAGATCGGTACTTACATATATCAGTACCTCATTATATCAGTAGCTCAGTACTCACATATATCAGTAGCTCAGTACTCACTTATATCAGTAGCTCAGTACTCACATATATCAGTACCTCAATACTCACATATATCAGTAGCCCAGTACTCACATATATCTGTAACTCAGTACTCATTTATATCAGGCGCCATATATAACATAAACTTGTTAATTGCTGCCTCCAACCGGGGGCGGCATTCTCGAGTTGATTTTTGATACTTCCAAACTGAATTAAATTTCAAAGTCAAAAGTTATGAATAGTACAATTCATAAAGAACTTAAACCAATATATTTTTTATGGTTCATTTATGAAATAAATAATTCGCTAAAAAGGGTTTTATCACACTGTCGAGATTTGTCTTCATTTCGTGCATTTTTAAAATTTTGCATGTCCTTTTATGAAATGTGGAGTGATATTTTCTTTTCATTGATATTGGTGAGTACTAGAGGCATTGTCCTTTTGTAAAATTCTGATTTCGGCATTTAGTTCGGTTCACAGGTATATAAAATCGACTCCAGTTGAAGACTACAGCGAAATTTCCAGTTTTCGTAATGGCTGCCGGTTCTGCCCACACACTGACACAATATATATCCTGGCATGTATAATATCAATATTTAAAAAAGCCAGGAAAACATCAGTGTTTTAATCAGTTCCGTAATCGTTTCAAACATTTTTTTTTATTTTCTCTTTATGATATATCAGTACCTCAGGTACTCAGGTATATCAGTAATTTGAACTAGTCAAAAGGAGGACAATTATACATGCATATCAGTAGCTGAGTACTGACATATATCATTACCTCTATACTCACATATATCAATAGCTCAGTACTCAGATATATCAGTGATGATTAGTGTATGATTAGAGAGGGATTAACTTTTCCACAAGGATATTTGTTTGTTTGTTCATTTTTATATAGGTTTTTTTTGGTTTGTTTTTTATTTGTGTAATTGTTTTGAGTTTTCTTTGCAGGTGGTGGACCATTCTGCCATGAACAAAATGAATTCCTCCAATCTTGCCATTGTGTTTGGACCAAATCTGTTATGGCCAAAGGGACAAGCCTCTCTGTCCAGCATGGGATACCTCAATAATTTTGCATGGAAAATTAACATTTTACATGTACAGTGAACTGTTTGACAGATAGTAGGTCATGACCTTTAGCTGGTACTCTGATAAACTGGTTCCTACCCACACACTGACACTTTACAATTGTCTTCTGGTAACCAGTTCTTCTAAAGATTTTGGCGCCAAGAAGTCTTTTTCAGTTTGAATATTTAGAAAAATTTCTCCTTTCTTATAAGGACCACTATGTAGGAGGCAGCTAAATGTTTTAATCAGTTCTGTAATCATTTCAAACTTTTTTTTATTTTTTCGTTCTTTGTGTAAATTATAGTATGTGTCCTCATTAGGTCATGTCCATATCAAATAAATGATGTCTGCAGAATTTGGTCATTTATTTGAACTAGTCAAAAGGGGGGTTTATACATGCACATGTACTTTGTAAACAGTGAGACATAAAATAACAGATTATTTGAAGACAGTTCATAATGTGTCTTGCTAAAAACTGAACTTTGCTTTCAACTAAAATGTTTCTTTAAAGAAATGACTCATTGAATGTTTTGTTATGCATTTTTATAACTATTATATGATTCTATATTGTTATGTTTGATATCTGTGTATACATGGTATATACAATTAGTGTTACTTATAACTAGGATGTACATAGTGGTAGTATTTATAGTAGTTCTTCCAGGAGCAGGTCTAAGTAGGGATAGAAAAATCCACAACAAGTTGTATATGAATGAAATACTCCAGTCTGACAATTATTATATATAAAAGAATGAGTGTTTAGTTTTCATTCACAGGCATTTCTGAAAAAATTAAAGTGCTGTTGATCAGCCCCAAAGGTACAAGTCAATGAAAGTGGCTGATATTGTATTTTAATGATATGTAAACATTGAATTGTTCATTAACTCTCTAAACTGATTTGTACATGATATAATGGAAAAAAATTCTCTAAAGCATTTCCTTTTAATAAAATGAATTTTGATATATTGAGGCATTTTAAAAAAATGTCTCAGAAAAATTTGAGATGACGCATATTTTTGACATATATTAGGCACACAAAGCATTTCAAATATTTGCAAAAATTAAAATGAAAAAAAAAATTCCAAAATGATCTTTTGAAAAGTGAATTTTGTCAGTTGGATGCAAGATAAGCTATAGATTTTCAGTCAAAATGACCAGCATTTCTATCAAGATGTTATATATATTTTCGAAAAATCCTATAATTTGACAAGTAAAGCACACTTGTGTTCAGTAAAATTTGAACAAAGATATATATACTACATTATACAGTGGAGCCTCATTTATCCAGAGGCTTTTGTTCCTAGTCAATTTGTCCGGATATGTGAAGCATCCAGATACCTGAACTACCAGTTTAACAAAACAATATAACTTTTAAAAATTCTGTACCAATGAAAAATTGTCTGGATACTGAAGTATCCGGGTATCTGGGGTCCGGATATCTGAAGGTCCACTGTAGTACACAAAAAAAAATTAATGAAAAATGTTGCATCAGGTTTAAAATAAAATATAATGATGATGATTTGGTTAAAAAAAAAAGATGTGTTTGTGAATCACTGATGCCCATGTACGGCAGCTTATGGAGAAAGGATGATGTTTTCAAATGCAAGTCAAACTCCAAGCTAAAAAAAAAAAAAATTTTGGGTATCAAGAGGAAAGTATATAAAAGCCCTAATACAACTATTTAACAGTTGTCAATGTTTTTATTATTTTTTTTTTTACAAAATGGGTCAAAGGTAAAAGTAAAAAAATACAAATACCGATAGATTGTAAGGTTTTGTCACAATTAATACACATGTGAAGTATAAAAAGCCTTAGCAACAACTGTTTATTAGTTATAACCAAGGTTAAAGTTTGGCTTTATTCAAAAAAGTGGGCCAAACTCCAATGCGAAGGTCAAGAGGTGAAATTTATGTTACACTAAGAAAGATCTTGTCAGAAGGAATAAACCACTCAAAGTTCCAGTGTCTGGGCGATGTTCAAGTTTCTGCGGACAAACGGATGGATAGGACAAAAACTATGTACCCCCAGGAATTTTTAACATCAATGCTGAATTTTCTAAATCTATTTTCCGGAATGCTTTAAAAATAATTTCATTAAATAAATATTTAAAAAGTTTTAAATCGAATTGTGTTTAGCCTGATGCATTTTTTTCCTACCAGCCTTTCGGGTGACTTGTAAAAATAGTTCCGCTACTTGACACATTTTCCTTTTTTTAATCCGGCAGAAACGTATCCGTCGTCCGTCTGTCTGTCTAGGTGTCTGTCCGGCTGTCTGGCTGTAAACAATTTTTCAAAATGCTACTCCTCCTACAGTTTCGGTCTGATTTCAATATAACTTTGCACACAAGTAGAATACACTAAGATACACAATTCTGTTTATCAGATTTTGATTTCGATCAACGGTCTTGCCATGGTAACTAAACTAGAATTTTCTGTGAAATACATTCAAAATAATAGTTCAGTACCTCCTACAGTTTAGGTCTGATTTCAATATAACTTGGCACAAAAATACATGTACGAGGGTTGTTCGGAAAGTTCGATCGCGCCATAAAATTAATTAAAACCGCCTAAGATACATGCATGGATTTTTCAAAGTAAGTAAGTAAGTAAGTAAGTAAATTTTATTTAAAGTCGGCATTGTATACATACATAACAATAAACATGAGCTCTGTAGAGCTCTTAAACCGACTATCACAGTTAAAATATCACAGAAAGACGTTTACACATAAATTATCATGCAAAAACACATGTACATATATACACATACAAAAATTATGACAGATAAAATGAATTTTAAGAATTTAACAAATTTTAAGAATTTATAGTTTCTTTAGGATAAGTTTAAGAAAAAAAGACAACTTGAAAAGCAATATGAATGCATTAAGAGAAACAAAAATAAATATAACGTGAGTATTATAATATAAATAAATAAATAAAAGTCATATGATAGTACATGTAATAAAATTAAGTACTAAGTTTAATTCATATATTCATATAAAAATTACTAATTGTATTATATTAATAATATTAAAAATAATTAAATAAAAAAAAACCTGATAATTGAATAAATTTGAAAGTTAAGGAAATTTAAAATTCACACAGACATAGCCAAACCAAATTGAGAACGAAGGAAAGAATAAAAAATAAAAATAAATAATAATAATAATAATTTTAAAGTAATTTATGTTCCTCATCAATACACATCCTGCCTAGTGATTGGGTCAGTCCCTACCTACATAGGCAGGATATGCATATTGTGAGGTTAAAGGAAAAAAAGAATAATAAATGAAATAGGTGATATCATTAGAGAAAATGAAAGATTTAAAAAATAAATGAAAATTCAACTGTTTCTAAACATCGTCTCATCAGCTATGCAGCCCTACGCTGTGGTTTCTGCAGGAACTGCATTTGCATTTTTCCCCCGTCCATGTCTCTATGAAAGTTTTAAATTGGCTGAGGGTGGAAAGTTCCCTAGCATGATTTGGTAAGAATTCCACAGCGCAGCAGCTGCATAGCTGAATGACTGTTTTCCATACCTAGTGGTTCTTGGCCTAGGTAATTTCAGGGTCTTTTGATATCTAAAATTGTATGTTGAATTTCGCTGTTGAACTAAATCTTGCAGGAACAGTGGGCATTGATTGTTTATAATTTTGAAAACTTCAAGGGCCATGGCTCTCATACGCCTGATTTTCAGTGAGGGGAGGTTTGATTTTTCTAGGAGCTGGTCATAACTGCTTGTGTAGTCATTATAATTGAATCTTAGTGCTCGCTCTTGAATTTTTTCTATTTTTTGGCAATTTTGTTCACTGCTAAAATGCCATACCAGAGGACAATAACTAAAGTTGGACATTATAAAGGAGTGATAGATGGTAAGTTTACCAAGTTTACAGAGATGTTTCCCAACACGTTTTAACACATTTAATTGTCGAGCTACTTTTTTACAAATATTTGATATATGAGAATTGAAGTTTAAGTTAAAATCAAAAGTAACACCAAGCAGTTTCACTTCATCCTCACAGGCTAGAGTTGTACCTTTCAAGTTTAAAGTAATGTTTTTATCATGCGTCTTTTTCCCCAGTGCTATTGCTTGAAATTTTTCTGGGTTTGCCTGCATTTTATTAGCTGAAAACCAATCGATGAGAGTGCCACTTTCCTTTTCAAGAGTAGTAATAACATTTTGTAAGATAGGATCAGATTTGGATAAGGTATTATCATCAGCATAATAAGACCATGGGTCTTAATTTTCAAAGTTTTAAAATTAGCAACTTCTATTTTATTTATTCAATAAACTAAGTATAGTTAGTTTTATTTTTGAATAAATTGTTGATGTTTTTTAAAGAAATGTTATGTCCAGCGGCACAACCTCGAAGACTACGTTTTTCTACCTAAGTGTGACTGAGAAAAAAACTTTTTTTAATATGAGAATTTGTCATCCAAAAATTCCTTTAATTCACTTTAATATGTAATATGTAATATGACACAATTGTACCGCGTAAAATTTGCAATTTTTTTTACCCCATTCTGGTAGATTTTTTTTTAATTTTATCGTAAATTTTACACGAAATGTGCAAACAATTAAAGGGAGATAATGACA